GGATTAAAGAATCGGCAAGGATGAGCTTCAGAATTGGCTCAATTTGTCCGGAACCGTTTTGCTTTGTTTGGTTTTAACTTAATCAACCCTCGAAGTGGATGCATTTGAAGGCGCTGTGGAGCTTTTGTAAACGCTGATGCGTCTGCTCTTTGCATTTTTGGCAAGGAGATAAGACAACAATGTGCATACTCAATGAATGCACTTTTTCTATTGACGTCCCCAGATCCACTTGTTTTCACTTTTATGATCAGTGAGTATAAACTACTAACCGAAGTAGGGATGGGTAGCAGTGGATATTTACTGAGCTGGAAATGCTTAAGCATAAATTATAACAGTAAGCTAATACAACACTTAAAGATGATTCTAACTCACTCCTAAAACGAATGCAATATTTTCGGGTGTATATCTTGCGTGAGTTATTCTAAGTTAAATGGCGAAGGATTTTCAAAGTTTGAGTTGCCATCTAGAGCGCATCTTCAACGTTATTCACCGTTTCAGATTTTTAGATTTTTAGATTTCAGATTTTTTAGATTAGGCTTTTAATCTCTGTATATATTTTATAATGATTATATAGTTTTAAGTTTACATTTGTAGGTATATTGCTTGTATACGACTGAGTGGAATTTACCGTGTATAAATAAAGTGGTCTATCTATCTATCTATCTATCTATCTATCACTAATACCAACCACCCCATCCCACCACACACACACACACACACACACACACACACACCCACACGCACAAAGACAGACAGAACAACATTTTTTTCTAGAAATTCTGTAAGCCTTTAAATCTCTGCTAATTGCTAACCGATATGTGGTCGCTTTTGACACGAATCGAGACGGAGAGCTTGATTTTGAGGGTAAGACAAAAACTAAAATTCATAGACACTAAAGCAGTCCCTTTGCTCAGTGCGAATCCTTTATTACTAAATGCAAGTCTGTAAATATCAAAGAAAATGATGTCTCCATATTCTCGGTCCCAAAGCCATTTGGTTGCTCTGGCTACGCGACCAAAAGAAAAAGGAATCTGGAAACGAGAATGAGGTTCTTATTTTTTTTACGATGCCAATCTCTGTTAACTCGCACAACGGAATGCGCCGCTTAAGGTTGTCTTATGGCCTAAAAAATTCTCTACAAATTGAGTCGGCTTATAAAATTTCACAGCTAATCAGACCATGGAACTTATTTTGCAGAATTTTCAAACATACCACTACATGAACAGTAATGCCATAATTAAACCTTAATAAATGGGTGCAGTTTACAAGGACGTGCCAGGAAGCGCCCACAAAAGGATTTACATAACTTTGCATGGTGTAAAACTTCAAGCTCTATTTGTTTGTAATAAATACTATAAATGCAGGTATTTGGGAGATGTTGTCTGAGCTTTGATTTGACTGTTTCTTACCCACAAATCTAACAACAATTAAAACATGGGGCGAGCGTGCTTCTTAATAAGGCTGCGTTCACACTAATTGGTGTCCGAGCATCAGTGATTGCGAACTTCCCGTTTAACTGGTCGCGAGTTTTGAGATTTTCAAGGGGTTTAATTTTCCGCTCCGTCCCGATTGAGATAGACTTCTAGCTGCTTTAAATGAGGAGTAGATCTACGGCAGGATACTTGATTTGGAAAGTGATGGTCTTCAACACCTTAAAGCGACGGAAGGAGATCGGGTGAACAGTCTGGTGAATGATACTGCGATTTGCACACGTGATCTGACTAAGTGGAGCTTTTGCCAAGTTTGTACCATTCTTTGGCCCGGTAAATATTTTTAAGGGGTAACGGGTTAAGTCGCCCGAGACTCATTTCGACTGTTTTTTATTTTTTTTCGGGTAACATGACTCAAATTTCGGGCGATATGACTCAGGCCTTGAACAAGCAGCCATTTTTATCATGGCAACAAGAGTGCTGCAACCTTAAAAAGGGTATTTTGTGCATGCCCCCGAGTGCCTAACTGCATGCAAAATTTGAAGACGTGTTAAAAATGTTCATTTCCTAAGATGTTTGATTCTTGCAGACTTGTTCTTAACTACTGAGCTATTCATTTAAACTTAAGGAGAATTTACAAAATTAAATACTATACTTCCTCAAAAAACGTTGAGTAAAAGAGGGGGCATTTATTGTAGGAAGGGTACCTTGTTATTCTCCTGTAATGACTCTGCTGTAGGTTTAAAATGATCTAAAGTGGAAATAATAGAAACAGGTTTTTCTTGTATCCCTACGATTTAAGTGAGTTAGGGACAAGGGAGATTGCTTTAT